GAAATCTGACTCATGAGAAAGATCTGATGCACAGATTCTGTCATAGAGATGGAGAGGCCACTTGGAGAGGCAATACCCTGTGAGTAGCAAGTGCCCCAGGCCAGATTGTGGACAAACAATTGAGATCTGAGTCCTACAGCAGAGAGGAAATGAACGTTGCTAATTCCTTGAGGAAGGCGGGAGGATACTGCTGTACTTGAGCCTGCACATGGTGGTGCTGTCGGCTGACACTTCCATTTCAGTTTTATGAGAGATGAACAAAGGACCCAGCTGAACGTGCCAGATTCTTAACCCACAGAAAGTGTAATAAGCCCTCTTTACAGCAACTTGACTCAGAGTAATAGAAACTACCAGACAAGAACATTTGAATAGTACTTCTATCTCATAATAAAAAGTTTCAATTTAGAACTTAAAATTCATGCGACTTCTTCTTCTTTCCACAGTTAACTCAGCTCTCACTTTTGCTTCCTGACTTACATTACTAGTTGTCACTAACCTATTTCCAGAAGACTGTCATGTAGGTCAGTGAACACACCCTGAATTTGAGCCAGCGCCATCTAATGGCTAGGAGCCTGGATAACAAAAAGGAAGGAGGGAACTGCTCAATATTGATCTACTATCCTTGTGGAGTAAGCACATTTTCTGCTGTTGCTGCTGCCACCACCTTGAAAATCAGACTCCAGGTTCTTCAGTCTTTGGATCCTTACCAGTATCCTCCAGGTGACTCTAAGGCCCTCAGTCTCAGACTAGAAAATACACTATTGATGTGCCTTGTTCTGAGGCTTCAAGTTTTTTGGATAAAGCCACTATTACCTTGCCTGGCTCTCCAGCTCTCACACCGTGATTGGGTCCTTTCCAGCCTTTTTGGTTGTGTCAGTCAATTTACTAAATCTTCTTTTATACAAATATATATTCCACTTCTCTGGAGAATCCTTATAAATACACTATGCTATATTGTTCTCCTATATGCATATTTGTATATACTTGGCCAATATTAGATTATTAAGTACTGTATTAAACTTTATACCTGTACCACTCCCAAATTTGGTGAAACAAATAATAATATTGTGACAATTAACCTTAATTGTGTCAGCCTGATCAGTTTGAGAAGTGAAGAAAGAAAAAAAGAGAGAAAAAGGGAGGGAACAAGGAGAGAAGAAAAGAAGGAGGAAGGAAGGAAGCAAAAATGAAAGAAAGAAGAGTGTGTGAGAGAGAGACAGAGAGAAATAGATTGGCAGGCAAAGTACATTTCTGGGTATGTCTAGGTGGGCATGGAGGCATGACTTCGGTACTCTGTATAGTCACAGACCTCTTCCTCACTGACACTGGTCCCATTTGCTTTCCAGTAACAATGAACCAAGAAGCTTTACTCTACTATGCCTTTTCACTGTGATGTTTCCGTCTTAGAACCAGGCAACTGTGGACTAATCCCCTGAAACACAGAAACATCAAGGCAAAAGGGCACGGTGGGAGAAGCTGACCAACTCACAGCATCCAGAAAGAGACAGCAAGGGACAAACCAGAGAGAAAAAGGCCAGTCTCCAAGATCATGCTCCATCGATGAAGTTAGTGTTTTCACAATCCAATCACCTATCCAGGAGTCTCTTAATCCAGGCAAACTGACAACTGAGTCTTATAGCCAATAGTGCATTAAGAGCAAGAGTACAACTATGTATCAGGGAAATGAGAATGCAAGCAAATAGTTTTAAGGGAAAACAGAAGTAATGAATCTGAAAACATGAATTTTTGAAATAAAAATAAACTCATAGCAGAAGAAACAGAACTAAAGAATATTTAAATGGGCAAAAATGTTAGCTCTAGTAATCCTAGGAAAGAGAAAAAATCATATAAAATCATAAAACAAAAGTACAAAAAAAGATATTAGACACAAAAGTTCTACTCCACCAATGTACTAGTTTACTTGAAGAGAAAAAGAAAAAGCAACATTTGAAGAATGTTAAATGAGAATATTTCCAGAATAAAAGGTAAATATTTATACTGGAAACAAGCAGTGACAAGCTAGGTTAGGTCTATGAATAACAACAACAGCAACAACAAAACCAACTGAGAGTCAAATTCAAATGAAACTGCAATTACATCAAGAATAATAAACAGCATTGAGGGTCATTAGAAAGCAAAAAACTTGCTCAGGAGGCTGAGGCAGGAGGATCGTTGTGAGTCTGCAACCAGCTTGGGTCCCAAAGTGAGCTGAAGGCCAGCCTGAATTACATAGTGAGACCCTGTCTCAAAAACATACACATATGCAAAAGCAAAAAACTCCTTAAAAAGGATTATGATCCAGAACATCATGTCTTACTAACACCAGGGAAAGAAGATGATAAAGAACTTTAAAAGTGCTCTAGGGAAAAAAAACCCTGTAAATTTAGACTTGTTTATCCAAATTATTATTCAAGATTCACTTATATCCATGATGGAGTACGAGGGACTGGATCTAACCTCCATGTTAAAATATATGAAGAAAATGCTTTCAGACACTGACCAATAGGCAGCACTGGGCATGATCCTTAAGACAGGGGAAATGAGGAAGGTGTAAACTCCACTTCTAGACTTTGCACTCAGAAAGAGTTTCAGCATGCAGCACACGGAAAGCTATAAACAGAGCTCAGCAGTTTTTGAGTTGAGAAAACAGCATTCAGAGGTTGGAAAGTTAAAAGCAACTAAGATTTACAGATCTGAGTGGCAAAGAACAGAGCGCTGCAGAGAGAATGCTGAGGACCTGAAGAGGGCGCCTAGGGTCTCCTGCTAAATGATCAAGAACATATTGTCAGTATTTACTGATTCTCAGTCAGAGCTGTAACTATTTCATGTTTCCAACAGCCATAGTGGAAAGATCTCCAAAGTAACAAAGCACTGGAAGCTCAAAAGAGTAATACAATTACAGTAGGGCCATCTTAGCACCAAACTAAATACTGTTCTACATTGCCTAGGATAGGCTCAAAGGCAAGCCTTGAAAGGTTCAAATTATTTCCAAATAATTTAACCATTCTCTAAAATAAAGCCTTCAGATATTAAAGAATACAAAAAAACTGAAGACAAAAATGCAATACATAGTATCCTATCACAAATCACTGGGCTTATAAAAAAAGGAGTGGATGATTTTAATGAGGAAAAAATCCAATCAACAAATACAGATTTGGAAATAATAAAGATGATAAAATTAGTAAGCAGAAACTTAAATAGCTGTTATACTTACACTCTATATGTTGAAGAAGGTAGAGAAAAGCATAGGAATTATAAAGAAAGAAATAAAAACACTCCAAAGCCACTTTAAAGGATAAAACATACATTATCTGGGTGGGGGATATAACTTAGTGCTAGACTGTTTGACTCACATATGGCCCTCCTCAAAATATTCCTCGAAAACCCATTATCTGAGATAAAAAAATTAATATGATAGAGCAGAAGATTAGTGTTCTTAAAGAAATAAAAAATAATTCAAAATGAAATATGGAAAGAAAAGGAGAAAAAGATATCAGTGGCAAGCACTTGTGTGAACAATAAACATCTAATACATGTATACTGACATTCTAGAAGAAGAAAAACAGTGGGAAACAGAAGTTTTTGAAGAAATAGTGGCTGAAATTTTCCAAATTTTATTAAAACCCCCAGAGATCCAAGAAGTTCTAAAAATAAGTATAGAACCAAGTTTAAAGGGTAAATTATTTTAATGTATAAAACTATATTCACCAAAAATTTTGTTGAAAACAAAGGAAACATTTTTTTTCATACTTAACAAATACTAATCAAATGCACCATCACTGCAAATTATCATTCAAATGTGAGGATGAAATAAGAGCATTTCTAAAAAAACCTTGGAAAGTTTCTCTTCAGGAGAATTACCCAGATACTCACTAGCATGAAGCAAAGTAGAGCTGAATAGTGGAATATAAGGAATGATGCCAAAGACAAAAATTATTAAATATTGGTAAATCTAATAAGAATCTTAAAATATTTTGAATAAAAATCTATAATAAAAACTCTAGATACCATTAACAAGGAGCTATGGGAATGGGAAAGGCAGGAGGTATTCTTCTATCTAGAAGAAGGACACAAATACAGATTAATTCTAGATATTAGGAAAACAAAATAAGCATGTATGTTGAAAACATAAACATTAAAAATTATAACTATCTTTTGATGATACCATTTTAAAGAAAAAAATCTTATATTAAATAACTACATTAATAAACTCATACTATAAAATTATGATATGTAATAAGTCTATTCAAAATATATTACCATCTAATTGAATTACATATTAGTTGTTCTGTAAAAAAAGTTCAAAAAAATTTATGGGCATGCCAAAATTACTAAGAGTTTAAACTACTGGAATGATTACTTAAAAGTATATCTAGGACACAGGACTTAAATAACGCAATTAGAGGCTTTAATTTTGTCCTCATTTGTTTCTAGGCAAATAGAGTTGCACAAACCTTTATCTAAATATTTCCCATTTTTCTAAAATTCCTTGTTGATAAAAAGTATTTAAAACCAAAAACATATTGGAGAAAAAAATTCCATTAATTTGAGAACTCAATTTTCTAGTATCTGAGTGGCTATACTATTCTTTTTAAAGAAAGAAACCAAACAGTAGAATTTCACTGTATGTATAAAACATGTAGCAGAATACAAAATAATAAGATATATCAGAACTTCATAGTCTGCAAATTATTTTTGAGTATCTTCATTAAACATATTCAAATACGTACTTGTGATGGTAACAGAGATTGATTCTAGGGTCTTCATACTGAGTACATCTCCAGCCCTTTGTATTTATAAATTTTGAGAAAGGGTCTCCCTAAGTTATTCAAGCAGGACTCAAATCTGCCATTCTCCTGCCTTGGTCTCCAAAGTTCTGGTATTTTAGACATGTGCCACCTTTCCCACTGTAACTCTTTTTATCTGTACTTACATTATTCCAGAGTTTTACTTTGAATACTAGTATGTTCAAATGCTCAAAAAACAAAAAAAAGTCATACCATATGTCCTTCGGCTCGTGCTTTATTCTGCATAGCTTCCTGCTTTCGTTGTAGAAATTCTTCTACTTGTTTAGCTCTTTCTATAGCTAGGTGCCCTTTTTGCCTAATTTGGACAAATCATAAAGTTAGCAATACTGAACATTAAATATTTCAGATAGTTAAAAATTATATTTATTCTAAGTATTTTTTCACTGCAAAATACAACATTTTTTTGTGAGACAGCATCTTACGATGTAGACCAGTATTATGATATGTAATAAGTCTATTCAAAATCCCGTCTCAAAAAGACAAAATAATAATAAAATAAAAAAATAAAAATTACATATTTCTCGTTTTTAGACTTCACATAATAATTTTGGTGTATTACTGAGGATTGAAGCTAGGGTCTTCACTGAGCTACATTACCAGACTTTTATTTTGGGACATGATCTTGCTAAGCTGCTAAATTGTCCAAGCTAGCCTCAAACTTGCCATTCTTTTGTACCAGCCTCTCAAGAATGCTGGCATGACCATCACATCCAGTTTAATTTCTTTAACATTCTTTTTGCAACAACTACTATGGAAACAAATATATAAAAATATTTTAAGTATTAACTCAAACTGCAAAAACTTAAAATCTACTTCATTTACCTTATATGGTACTACTCAACAGTTTATGTGAAATTTCCATCAGGAATTTTCTAGGACTAGATAAACTCTAAACTGGTTTAAGGGCCTGTTACCAAATGACTCACAGATATGTCTGAATAGTTGATCTTAATCTAGTTCTGCAACACTAAATTAAAAAATGTACTTCCCTACAGTCATGTTAGCTTATGAATGTGCAATTTTTCCAGCCTTTTAAAGTGTACATATGTTGTCCTCTAGCAGTTATGTACACCGTATGACTGAGATTAAAAAGGTATATTCATTCTAAATTCAACATAGGCTGGGGATTTAACTCAGCAGCCCGAGCACCTGCCTGGCAAGCATGAGGTTGCAAGTTTGATTCCAGTAACAAACAAACAAACAAGCAACCTATTTCTGTATATAACCAGGTAAGGCTGTACCCTACTCTGCTACAGCCCCATTTATAGGTGCTTGAGTTTGATGTGGACAGATAAACTATGAGGTGTTGGGCTCTTACATACCATTTAAATTGTGTGACAGCTACTCGGGCCGTGGAAGCCCATATCACCATGTACAACCAGATAAAATAGCTTATTTCTCAATCTTGATTGCACTGACTTTCTTTAAACTACAGAAATAAAACATGTTTCAGTCCGCATCCTAAGGTAAAATATGTGTACAGTGTTTGTCAGTCTAAATCTCCAGCTGGCATACTTTAATACAGCAGTTGCTCAGAAATATTTTACTAAGAACCTGGTCAGATGTATAAGAGCTTTGATTTTCATATGTATGTACCCACAGCAGTAACTACCTGCTTCCTGTAATTATATGATTATAAGTATTGTCTCACTGTAGTAATTTCCTAAACTGGTTTAAATAAGCAGGCTAGTTGAAAACATGTAACAATTCTGTTTGTTTTATTGTTCTTGTTTTTTTGAGACAAGGTCTCACTATGTCACTCAATCTGGCCTTGAATTTGCGGCAATTCTCCTGCCTCAGTTTCTTAAATTCTGGGATTAGAGGCATGTGTCACCATACCCGGTCACAACAATTCTTTTAACACTATTTCTTTTTTCCTTTATTTATTAAACAAATATTTAATTAAATGGCCATAATTTAGACATTATACTAGTCTTTAAAGATAAAAAGGTGACTAAAACAGAATTCCAGGAAGCAAGGTTGGTTCAAAATATATGAAAATCAGTTTCACAAATGCTGTGACTCCTTATGTTTCAAGCCTATAAAATAAGTGTCTTTTTCCCATGCATAACCATTTATCACTTCATATATACTACGCTCGTATTCTTTTGTATCTTAGCCCTGATTTTTATTCTCTTTATTCTCTAAAGTAGTAGAATTACGTTAATCTTTTGGCACAAACTATATATCTGTCTTACGCTCATGGGGGATAAAGAGGAAAACAGTCAATTTACTTTTTTTTTGTTTTTTATTTTGGTCTTTTTGAGACAAGATCTTGCTATGAGTTCAAATTGGCCTTGAATTCACGGGTCCAGAACTTCCAACAATCCTCCTGTCTCAGTATCCCAACTGCAGAGATTACAGGTGTGCATTACCATGCTCATCTTCAGTGTACTTCTTAATAGTTATTCTCTTTATGAACCATTGAATTGATATGTAAATGCTCTTTTATAAAAATTATAAAGTTATAGGACTTGCTATCAATAAAACATTGGAATGGATTAATAAAAGAATGGTATATGTAAACATATATTTAACACAAAATAGTAAGACATTAAAAATTTGGATAGTAAAATACACAGACATTAAAATGGGTTAAAACATATCATATAATAGGAAAAAATATCAAACAATACGGTAACTATGGTATTCTTTGAGGAATAATTATTCTAAGACAAATTTTTTACTCTGATAAGAAGAGGGGAAAAAGTTCCTGTCTTTCTTTCTCTCATTGTAAATCCGTGAGGAAGCAACAAGGTATTAGAAAGAACTTCATATTCCTATTCCAGGCTTAAATTCTTTATTGATATGGGAAATTTAAAAACTCTGAAGGATGATTATGAATAGAATATTTGGTGGAAATAAGTACCAATAACTTGTTAGATGCTAAAGAAATTTTCAAAAAGTATAAATTTAAAAGCAAAATAATACATAAAGTTTTCACTGTGTTCTACACTTACTACACAAAAGGTTAATGACGCAAGTCTGAATCTCACTACAAGATGCCTATCAGAATAGCGAATGGTGATGAGGAGAACAATCACAGTAGTAAAAAGTAGCAGCTAATATTTAATCAGGCTCTCATAACAGAACCAGTTCCAAAGTATCTTACTTACACAATTAATCCTCATTATTCATTTATTCCATGTTTGTCATCTGGTCGACTTTCTTCCCACTCCCCAAACCGAGATGCACGCACTTTGATGATTGTGGCATGTGTTAAATTGTGGAATTATTTTTCTTAATTTAACCTATTGGAGTACATACTCTATGATAAGAAAAACAGTTGCCAGGGATATTAGCTCATTGGCATAGCTCCTGCTTGGCAAGCATGAGGTTCTGAGCTCAATTCCTGGTATCAGAAGAAAAAAAAAAGTTTATTTTTTAATGGTAAAAGGTAAAATTTTTTAAAAAAGCATCTGGGCCAGGGCCAGGGATATAGCTCAGAGGCACAAGCATCTGCCTGGCAGGGATGAGATCATGAGATTGATACATGGTACCCCCCCAAAAAAAGTTATCCACCTAAATGAGACAGAATGGTTTGTGAGCAAAGATATTGTGGTTGAAACCTGATCATATTGGTATTTTTAAAACAAAACAAAAAAGAAAAGAAAATGAAAAAAAACTCCTAATTTGATGATAATGGTATTGGTGGAAGTGACAGTAGGAGGAAGGACACTGCAAAAATTCCCTTAGAGCAATGCTATCCAAATAACCACTAATGAAAGAGATGTAAAATTTACAGCTTAAAGGCCCCTTCATTCGGGCTTATTTCTAGTATTCCAGCCTTACATCAGATTTAAAGAGTTATCAGGGAAGACTAGTTAATTCATATAGGGACAGGTGACCATCCAGTGTGGGGTCTTTATCACTAGTAGTCTATTACTAAGTTTTCAGCAGCTTTCAACAATATAAGCAAACTATAAAATCTATACAAATTCAATATTACTTAATCCAAAACTATGTATAGTCTAAAAGTATGTCACCCTATTTTTTTTCTACATTGAAATGTTTGCTCTTACCAAACATTTCATCAGGCTCATAACTTTTTTTAAAAATTGGCTTACTGGGTGAAATTAAAAGTTGAATATCTGCACTGGTTTATACATTGTGCCAACCTGAGAAGTTTAGAAGTTTAATAAAGCTACTCAGCAGAGAACCAGGGTCCTCACTTTGTAAATATCCTCATCCTGTGCAAGAGGAGAGGAGGGTACCAAGATAGTGTGAATACTACACATGCTCTAGGAGGTGGTAGCCTCTTAGAATATAAGGGAGGAAAAGGGGCTAAGATATTCTAAACAAAGAGAGAAGCAGGTACAAAGGAATAAACACAAGAATAAAAACAGTAATGTCTACCTCTCCACTCTCATAGGTACAGAAAGAAGCAGAAACAAGATAATGACATGGAGGCATATAAGCCTCTAAGAGAATCTGCATACAGAGAGAGAACCAGGCATTCAGGAACTACAATTTGATCCATGGGAAGTGAAATGTCATTTCCTCAATTTTCTTAATTTATGCTGTTCGTAAACCTTTACCAAACATATCTTTATCTGATCTGATAACTTTCAGACTCAAACATACCTGCTTTGCTTTGTTTTTTGAGGTGGTGGGAATCAAACCTAGGGCTCATGTATGCTGGGTACAATGAGTCTACCACTGAGCTATACCCCTTTTATTGATTTTTATTGTTTTGTTTTGTTTTAAATTTTGAGACAAGTCTTGCTAAGTTGCCCAGGCTGGCTGTGAATTTGTGATTCTCCTGCCTCAGGTTTCTGAGTAACTGGGATAGGCATATGTCACAACACCCATCTCCTAATAAATTTTATCTAAGTCATGTTAGTTGTAGTTATAATCTACTGAGACTATTTTGTTTCTTAATATATATAAATAATTAATTTCATTGCTTTCTAGAAATACGATGACTGTATTCTAAATTGCTTATTTACTTAAAAGTGAAAATATTTTAAGGAGGATAAGCCTTTAAATCAAAGTGAAACAATTTCACTAGGTAAATATTTGACAATATTTACCTAGATTCTGGTAAATATCTAAGTTTAGAAGTAGCCATTCTGTCCAGTTGGACCCGTGGGAGGGAAAAAAAAAAAAGAAGTAGACATTCTGTCCTAACATAAAGTAAAAGAGCTGAACAAAATGAAAAATCAGTAACTCTCATTAGATCCTTCAGAGATGAGGTAAGAGGGCACACTACTGTCCCCACAGCTGTAGAGACAGACAGGCAGATACAGAGACTCACAATTTACCAGAGCAGAAGTCTCCATGGGAAACACTATC